TCAGCCAAAAGAGCATTTGTAAAGTCAGGTAGAGTTGTTGGGCGAGAAGATCTGGATAATAATTGGCTTTTTAATTCCTTTTAAAGGTGTTCAGTAGGGTTGCAGTGAGGGCTCTGTGTAGGCTACTTAAACTTCTTAACAACAAACTATTCAAACCATGTAATTACATGCCAGGCTTTTTGCACAGGGGTTCCTTCACACTGAAACAGAAAGGGGCCTTCTTCAAAGTTGTCTACCACTGGACCACCAGTACCTTTCAGTGGAAACAAGTGTAATTTGAGAGGCAAGTCTACATATGTTTGGTCATACAGTAGAGTGTAGTTTCAGAATGAAACTTTGAAAGCCAAGCCATATTCTTACAGCTGAAATGTAACACTTTCATTGGTTCATTAGGGTTATACAGGTGTGGGAGCTCAGATGTTAAATATAGGTGAGCAAGAAGTGAGGGGAAATCTTGAAACCCAGACTAATGTTCTGGTGACAGCTGTCCAAGATAGGAATTACTCTCACTTTGGGGAAATTTCCCCTCATTTCTGTTGCATTTTGGGGACCAGAAGTGAGGGGGAAATTCTTTCTAGCAAGACAAAAAAAAACCGCAAGGGTTTTAACACTTTCCTACTCTTTCCAAAACTCTTTTCACACACAGAGGAACTGACATCTACAAAACTGTGCCAAAAAAGGCAGGCAGATGGCAAAGGACTAGTCACTAGTATTGCCTGTGGTCTTCCTGCAGCTGACAGTTCCACATTACTGACTTATCATGGCTTATACTATACTGTGTGCCTGTGTGGAGACGGCCATCTTGGTAGAGTTAGAGCTTTGATTCCTCATGTCAGAGCCAAGCAGAACATTGAGCTTCACAACAGTGGCATCACCAAATCTAAGTCCAAATCTTCTGAGACCAGCAGTTGGAGGCACCAGTGCCTTAGATCTCATAGCACACATACTACACAGCTATGAGGCTGTAAGCACAGTAGTGCCTAGGCATACTCGCCTTCCAGGAAGTGCACCACTATTTTACAAAAGAAATTCAAGACAAAACATAGATTATTTAGGGCAGTGCTTAAGCACAATTAACATTTCATGTTCCTATAATATAGCAAATCTTCACTTTTTGAGTTCAGGTCTACTTTTAGTAATTTGGTAATTTCATCAATTAGCCTACATGCTTTCTCTAAATGTAAATACGATAAAACCTCTGGTATTTTATTTATAGGACCGTGCATCATGGGTACCATACATTAGCATAGTGTGCATTCTTGGTGTAATCGCATCATTTTGCATTGGACCAGGTAAGATACATCTGCATTATTTAGAAACTGCTGACACAAGCAACAATTTTATTTAAATGACATTCCTGTACATAATCTTTACTGTCCTTCAAGCCACAATGCTAAATGAAACATGAAGCTTGCTAATGCCATTTGTTTTTACAGGGACTATAAATGTATTGGAAAATTAATTCAAAATGCTTATATTCAAATTATTCTGAATCACTGAAAACAACTTTATTGATAGGTAAACAGAATACAATAAGAACACATATCCTTGCATTGTTCCAAAATGTAAAGCTTTTCATTATTTTTTAGGAAGTATTACTTTATATCCATGTAAATATGTAAATTTGGAGTGATATCAGCAGTCATTTTCTGGCTTGGAATATGTTTTGCAGATGTCGACTGTAAGATTCCTGCTTCTGAGCTACCTGCTCCATCCATTAAAAGCCTAAACCTGTTTGATCTACTTTATGTTAGTGAAAATGTGGCTTGATAAGGGTGGTTTATGCAGCACTAAAGGGAGATGCAATATCATAGGGAATGGGGAAGGGAAAGAACATTTTGGCTGGGTTGAAAAATTAAGATTATAGCTTGTTGAGAGTAGTGACAGGCTTGCCTGCCTACATGTGTGCTCATCACCTAAAGATTTGGCATGCTTATTATTAATGTCTGTAACTAATATTGTTTCCTGCTGGTATTATGTCTTGTTCATTAACCACTTAAAAAGATTTAGAACCAGCTTAAAGCTGAACTAAAGTCACCAACTATTGCAGCAGTATATTTATTAATACATCCTTACATTTATTTTTGATCCTCTTAATGCCTGTGCCTCCTGGCCCTTTAAGAGTTTTCTGATGGCGGGGTGGGGCAGGGTTTCTAATCATGTGACCATCATGATTAGCTGTCACAGTGGTCACATGACCATATAGCTTTCCGTTAGCTGCCTGTAACTGTCCTGGGGGTTCTCCGGGAGCACTCTCTAAACACAGCTCTCTTTACATTCTGGTATGCATACATGCGGCCTCTCAGGATTAAGGCTCACCCACTGAGAGGCCTCATATATGCGTTCTGCCAGGCCGAAGAGGTTAAGGGCAAGCATTACAGCAGAGTTTGGACTGGGAGAAGAAGAAGCAACTAAAGGTGTCAGTCAGCTGTGCTGAAGTGCTTATGTGTGAATAAGGAAAAATCTGATAGGAAGAAAAGCAGAGAGATGGAGAGATGGGTTAATCAGTGTGCTGCTTCCTTTTTTACTGCCCAATCACAAGACCTATAAATGTTATTTAACTGCAGCAAACAAATAAAAAAAATGTGTTTACTGCCCTGCCAGACATGGTTGCGTTACAAAATGATGTATTCAACTGTCTGCCTGGAGTTTAGCTTTAAATCTGTATTAAAAAAAAGACAAAATTACAGATATTTCCAAGGTGTATCAATTTAATTTAAAATGACCTTAAGGTTTTATCATATTTGGCTTCTACATAAATGATTTTCTCTTAATCTTTAAAACTTCAAGGCTTCCTCTTGCAGGAGAAAAGCAGTTTCAGACATGCATTTTTGCAAAGGCACTTAGGTACGTTTTGGTACATCAAGCGCTTGGGAAATGATTTCATTGGCCAGAATATTAATTTATTCTGGCCATTGAAATTAAAAAACTATCAAGCGCTCAACGCGCCTAGCACTTAGATGCATTTAAACATATTTACATGAAATTTAGATGGCATTTTTTTGCCAAAACACTTCTCTCTTGAATGCACAAATGATGTTTTTTTCTGCCTCTAAACTCCTGTAAACGCTTATATGTGCATGGACACACAGGTTATCATGAAGGGGCATTTAGAGGCAGAAGATGAAAAAGTCATACGCTCGTAAAACATGTTTTCTTTTTAGCTCAAGTGTGCATGAGACCCTAAACAAAATGAGCAAATGAATTCCTGCATGCACTGATTCCCTTCTGAGATTGCTGAAAGCTGCAGTTTGCATATCTAGCATTACAAATCAGGTTAGTGTGATTCAAGAGCCTTTTGTTCTATACACCTTTAGGTATTGCCAAAATGAAATGTTAAACAAAAAGGGTGTGGAGGACACCATGCAGTAAAAATGATGCAAAAGGATAGAGGAGTATTTAATATAACAGAAAAATGAGGAACACATAGCGAATGGCGAACAAAGTCAACTTGTATTATAAAGGAAGGAATCTGGTTGATTGACAGCTTCATCAGACCATACACCCATTAGAATATATTGTACGATAAGCAGTATAGAGGACCGGGCAGTGCTTATAGGAACAGTGTACTGGCTTTGGTTCCAAAGTGAGCTCTCCGCTTGGTGAGTTAATCTTCAGCGGATGAAGAGTTACCATGCTCCATGATTTTCCAGTGACAGTGAGTACGGTGGATTAGACTGACTCAGTTGGGGCTTTATACTGTGGATTAAAATACCGCCTGAGTTATTTGTATGTGAACGGTTCAGCAGTCAGCTCAGAAGACTGGGACACAGATTAACATATTTTGTAAGTAAAGCGGAATGTAATATTATTAATAGGTTGTAATAAGGCGCACTCCGCACTGACACATGCACGCTGGGGGCAAACTTTCAGTGCAATGCTTAGCCAGTGAAAATGGTCAGGGTAGCACTTAAAGGGGAAGTATCATATACGCTGCAACTGAACAGTTTTTTTTTTTTTATGAAAACAGCAATAACTGTAATAACTCTAAAGTAAAGTATATTTAAAAAAAAAAAAAAACAGGTTATTCAAAAAAAAAATGCAACAGAAGTTGTGAAAAACTAAAAAAATAATTATCACTTTTGTTTATTACTTTTTGAACAATAAAGAAGCTAGTAGGAAAATGTTCACAGGATACTCATTATTATTTATTGAGGTCTGTGAAAGGACACTTAGCTTTTAAAAACTACAACTATCTGGAAGTATAACAGCACATGAACACTGGAAATATGTTTTTCTTTGTCATATCTTTTACAATATCATAATTTAGTTATGTTACTTGTTCAATTTATGGAAAATATATTTTTACTACATTTGATACATGGGGAACTTGATAAAGTACAAGAAGGGCAACCAAACTGATAAGAGGCATGGAGGAGCTCAGCTATGAGGAAAGATTAGAGGAACTGAATTTATTCTCTCTTGAGAAGAGGAGATTAAGGGGGGATATGATCAACATGTATAAATACATTCAGTGGTTCATATAGTGAACTCGGTGTAGAGTTATACACCCTGAGGCCATCACAGAGGACAAGGGGGCACTCTTTACATCTGGAGGAACAGAAATGTAATCTCCAAACACGGAAAGGTTTCTTCACAGTGAGAGCTGTGAAAATGTGGAATAGACTCCCTCAAGAGTTGGTTCTGGCCAGCTCAGTGGATTGCTTCAAAAAAGGCCTGGACTCTTTCCTCGATACACAGAATATAACTGGATACTAACATTTATAGGTAAAGTTGATCCAGGGAATATCTGATTGCCTCTCGGGGGATCAGGAAGGAATGTTTTTCCCAGCAGGAGCAAATTGGATCGTGCTTTGCTGGGGGGTTTTTTTTGCCTTCCTCTGCATCAACTGTGGGTATAGGATTATAACTTTTTTTTTTCTATGGTTGAACTGGATGGACTTTTGTCTTTTTTCAGACAGACTAACTAGGTAACTATGATACAGATGAGCAGGTCAAATTATAGTGAAAGTGTTACTAAACCCAGGACCCAGCATTCACTATATCTGGTCTCCCACAGTACACACTACATGGAAATGCAATTATTGTAGTAAATATAAACAGCTAAATACCTTTTCTCATCAAGAGTATATAGAAGTTTTGTGACTTTTATTACTGTCCGGCTGAACACTGGTTAATCTTGTAGGAGTTTTCATTCTGCTCTGACAGTCCTATGAGGCTGCATAACACCTGACCCTCTGTCTGGACAGTGCTGATTGGCCGTGTGCTGATCACATGCACCCTCCCAAAGAAAAAAAGACTCTATAGCAATACACACTAAACTGAGCATGTGTAGAGTGAGTCCACATTAAAAGAAGGGGAGGATCAGAGAAGACAAGATCAAATGGCCTTTTTACACAATGCAGAGGATTAACCCCTTAGGTTCTACAGTGAGTATACCAAGCATGCTTTACTGCATATACAGACTGATTTTACTGTTGAGGGTTTAGAAATACTTTAAACTCCAACCTTTCCTTCTTTCACAGTTGTACAGGTTCCTTTCATTTGGCTGTACACTCTAAGCTTCTCAAAGTGGGCATTAAAAGATGCAGCATGCCAGATAGAGTCCGCCCCATTTCCTGAATCGGTGACATTCAGCATCATTTAGCTTTTTTATCTCCAGCCTGTCTATCGCTTGCCTGCCCTTTTCATTCACTGGAATTTCATTTTTTTAAATTATGGAGTCTCAACATCACATGTGGACATTACCTAGGGTGCTTTGCATGCAAATGGAATGTCCACTCCTGCAGCCTCATGCCCACCCATCAAGGCAATTCAGTACTTGCATAACTAATCCCAAGAGCTAGCCCACTGCATCAGGACAGAGGACTCTTGAGAGCAGTGCTAAGATAGGGTGCTGTGATGTTTTCAAGAAGGTTTATACATCACCTTGTGCCCTCAGCCCCCCTACAGACACGACCTTCCAACATTGTACAGGGAAGGACAGAGACCTTTCATGTATCTAAATAAGATGTGTAATGAAATTAAAAGATTTTATTTAAAAATTGCTTTTGTGTGTTGAAGGGGAGCAGGGAAGACAAAAAAGATGCTGATTAAACTTCAGCTGTAAAGCCAGTCATCGTGTTTTCTGTCCCCTTTCCCCTTCATTTCAAGTTTGAAGTGTTACTAAACCCAGGACCCTGCATTTACTATGGCCCAGGGGCGGACTGACCATTTGGAAACTCGGGCACTGCTAGAGGGCCCGGGGTCAGTAGGGGGCCCCATGAGATGCCCCTGGTACCTTTTTCCATAGGCTTTTTTGAGTTTGGGCAAGGACACAGAGCCCCATGAACCCCTATTGCAAGGGGTGTCAGTAGGAGGCCTCATGAGATGCCCCTGGTACCTTTTTCATAGGCTTTTTTTGAGTTTGGGCAAGGACACAGGGGCCCCATGATCCCCTATTACCCGGGGGCCCCATGAGTTGTCAGTCCGCCCCTGCTATGGCCTCCCACAGTACACAGAACATAGAAATGCAATTATTTTAGTAAATATGCTAAATACCTTTTCTCATCAACAGTATATAGTGACTTCTATCAGTGTCCAGATGAACACTGGTTAATCTTGTAGGAGGAGTTTTCATTCTGCTTTGACTGTCCTATGAGGCTGTATAACACCTGAACCTCTGTCTGGACAGTGCTGATTGGCCCTGTGTTGATTACATGCACCCTCGCAAAGAAAAAAAAAAACCTTTATAGCAATACACACTAAACTGAGCATGTGCAGAGTGACTCCTAGAGCTCTGTACTATCTGCATATGGATTGGGGATATTAGAATAAGGGGAGGAGCAGAGAATACAGGATCAAACAGTCTTTTTACACAATGCAGAGGATTAACTCATTAATCTCCACAGTGACTAAAGACAAGTATGCTTTACTGCATATACAAACTGTTACCTGCTGCTGTTCTTTTAAAAACATATCTATGCATTTCAGTTGCATGGAGTGTTGCATAGGAAGGTTTACCTACTATACTCAAATGATTAGGGCCAACTGTGTAATAAGAGAAAACAAAAAGCTAATATTGAGCCAATCATATGCACAGGGAATTCTATTTTATTGGTGTTCGGTACAGTCTATAGAAAGCTGTACTGTAGGCATGGGTGCCTTGGTTATAAAGAAGCAACATCTACATTTTTGGTACTTTTTAAAAACAAAATGGTTGCAAGTTGAAAATAATAACTTGACAAGAGTTAGACCTGCAGAAGGAGGATAGAGGGTTTACATGACTGAAAAAAGGAATATGGCAAAATAAAGGGTTAAAATGTGTGGTTAGTGTTTGTGGTGGTGACATCTTACCTAACCTTACAGGCACGGAGGAGCTGCAAGGGTAGAGCCTGCAAGGGGAACTTAATTTCAGAAACTTCAGGTGAAGAGAGAAGAATTTCCTCCTTGTCTGCCTAAAAGCCTTAAGGCCTAAAAAGCTCAAAAGAGGAGGGCCGTATGATGAATGGCGCAACAGCTGGGAAGGTTAGGGAATTTTTTTTTTTGGGGGGAGGGGGGTCTTTGAAATTGCAAAATGGGTGTTCCGTACAGTGATAATGGGGACAATTTACAAAGTGGTATCTTACTGCATCAAAGTATGCACAGCGTTTTTTAAAAAAAAAAAAAATGTTGGCATTTACTAAAAAAACTGTACTAAAATACAATGTTTGTGTGGTATTTTAGTAGATGCCTATGTGTAGTCTAGCTAGATGCTTCTCCGTATGGGAGAATTGGGGTTAAGTGTGTTTCCTGGGCTTTGCCTTGGTTTTTCTGGGTCCAACCCCTTGATGTGACAATATAAGGGGACAGTGTTCTGGAGCCGAGGGAGTCTCTCTTTATCTGCCATTGCCGCTGCCACCATTCCTTGCTATACTGATGATGGAGTACTCGCCATCAGAGGTCTTCCAGTATATAGGGGGACTACTGGAACTTGTAGTCCATCCTGAAGATGTATGGACTTTTGCCTATGTGAGTATGCTGGGGCAGCCAAAAAGCCTGAGCTAGGGCTTAGGGATGGTAGGGAAGAATGCACTTGGTTTGGACTTTGTATGTTCGGAACTACCGTATTTTTCGCACCATAAGACGCACTTTTTTCCCCCCCAAAAAGGGGGGAAAATGTCAGTGCGTCTTATGGAGCGAATGTAAAGCGGCCGGTCCGGTATTTCTGCCGCCACCATGTCAGAATACCGGGCCGGCCGCTCAGCTGTTCTCTCCTGCAGGGCCTTACCTGTTCCTCGCTCCAGCGCTGCACAGTCTTCCCGCGCTGGCTTCTGTGACAGCCGGGTGCCCACTGCGCATGTGCTGCGCTTTGTGAATGATCCGGTGTCTTCTGGGACACATGAAAGGTCACAGAAGGCGCCGGGCCATTCACAAAGCGAAGCGCTTCTTGCACCTGCGCAGTGGGCACCCGGCTGTCACAGAAGCCGGTGGCCCGGGAAGAAGAGGGAAGGCAACTCCGCGGAAGTGGGAGCGGGTACCTGTCAAATTCAGGTACCCGCTCCCCCTCCCTCCCCAAAGGTCAGCAGTCTCTGGTCATCCCCTGTACTGTCTGCAGTCTCTGGTCATTCCCTGCACTGTCTGCAGTCTCTGGTCATTCCCTGCACTGTCCGCAGTCTCTGGTCATTCCCTGCACTGTCCGCAGTCTCTGGTCATTCCCTGCACTGTCCGCAGTCTCTGGTCATTCCCTGTACTGTCCGCAGTCTCTGGTCATTCCCTGCACTGTGTCCGCAGTCTCTGGTCATCCCCTGCACTGTCCGCAGTCTCTGGTCATTCCCTGCACTGTGTCCGCAGTCTCTGGTCATCTCCTGCACTGTGTCCGCAGTCTCTGGTCATCTCCTGCACTGTGTCCGCAGTCTCTGGTCATCCCCTGTACTGTGTCTGCAGTCTCTGACCATCTCCTGCACTGTGTCCGCAGTCCCTGGTCATCTCCTGTACTGTGTCCGCAGTCTCTGGTCATCTCCTGTACTGTGTCCGCAGTCTCTGGTCATCTCCTGTACTGTTTCTGCAGTCTCTGGTCATCTCCTGTACTGTGTCCGCAGTCTCTGGTCATCTCCTGTACTGTGTCCGCAGTCTCTTGGTCATCCCCTGTACTTTGTCCGCAGTCTCTGGTCATCTCCTGTACTATGTCTGCAGTCTCTGGTCATCTCCTGTACTGTCCGCAGTCTCTGGTCATCCCCTGTACTATGTCTGCAGTCTCTGGTCATCTCCTGTACTGTGTCCGCAGTCTCTGGTCATCCCCTGTACTATGTCTGCAGTCCATTGGTTCAGAATATTTTTTTTTCTTGTTTTTCACCTCTAAAACCTAGGTGCGTCTTATGGTCAGGTGCGTCTTATGGAGCGAAAAATACGGTACTTAAGTAAAGCTTCAGAAACTTTGTCTTTTGCCTGGATTGAAGTTACTAAAAGAGGTGTAGTGCATAGTATATAGTGAGGATCAGCTAAGGCACAGTGGGGTATGAAGACAGCAAAGTGATTACCAAGAGTTACAGAATTCTAACGGCAGCCTGTCATGAAGCGTGTACCTGTGCGGGGTGAGATAGCATCTTGCAGTGAGAGAGATGTTGTTGACACTCAAGCAGGCCATTTCCCATAGCAATGGGAGCAGATCTGCTCCACAGAGGTCTTCAGCCTGTGCATAAGTATGGAAGAGCAAGAGTTAAGTAAGTGAATGCACGGGGTCTGTGCTAGGTGGAAGGCGGGGCTACTGGTTGTGAGGCAGCAGATTCATTGGACAAACAGAGTGGACATAGGCTCAGCGAGTTCTTCCTAAATGCAACAGTCTACAGCAAAGGTTTACATTGACACGAGGACGAGAGAGTTAACTGGAGGACAGTTTATTACTCAAGTGTACATGATGTAAGGCCATCTCTAAGGTCAGAGGTTTGCCTTAAGGTCGAGTATTCCCTGAAAGTGGCCTTAGCCTTGTCCCAGGGCATTGATGGATACAGCACAATTAATGGTACCCCAATGTGCAAGGGAGAGGACCTTAGACTAGGTGCCTAGTGTAGCCCAGAAGAACCCAACAGGGGGTAGACCTCCTGGCATCAGCCCACATTATGGCGTCTGTCTACATCACGTGGAGAGGTCTCTAACCCCTGGCCCCCTACAAGCAGCCAGTGCCACTTTATAAAAAAGGCTCTGCCACATACAGGTCCTGTTGCTGGTGCATCCAGTTCCCCCCAACAAATCATTCCTGAAACTAGAGGATCAGGCCACAGGGAATACAGACCAGCTAGACAGAGCTGCATAGTAAAGGTCTTTGGAGCAGGGATGAAGGTAAGTATTTGGGTCTAAATAGCCAGTATTGCTTCAGGTGGGTTCATGCTTGCTTTCCCAAACAGCTGGGTGCATGTCCAACTTGTCACTATCTACTGTAGTCGAAAACCGGAGAATGAATGATGGCACCAGACCAGCATTTGTTGCATAACTTTTTGGCACTAGAATGGGGTATATACAAAAAGCTGCAAACATTTAGCTGATTTCATTATGGACTGCGCTTACTCAGAGTATTTACGTGTGTGGCCTACAATGAGGTGGATGGGGGTGAAAAAAAAAAAAAAAAAGTTGTCCTTTAAGAGAAACTTTCCTGATCTGCATACTTGTTAGAGGTCAGTGACTTAAAACATTAAAGCCAAATATTAAGCCTGATAGTGAGTTAACTATCATATAGGAAGAAAGTCCACAGTGGCAGTCCCAGTATTTGCCTAAATCTGTGTACCAGATGGGTTCCATCCTCCATAAGGTTACGCATCTCATGCTTTCAAAATACAACTTACTTTTAGAATTGGTGTAATCTGGGGTCAATCTAAATTTATACGGACCATTTTCTTGGCTCTCTTTCAAATTATCTTTCAAACCAGCAGAACCATTTTTTCATGTAACAAGTCTGTTGGTAGCTGTGCTGCTAAAAAAAGGTATTCCAATGGGATACTCAGGATGAGCAATCTCTCTATCCATTAATATCTCTGTACAGGGATGATATCATTACTGAGATTTACTTCAGCTGTGATGCATGAAAAGAATGACTCATATGTAACCATGTGACTCATAAAACTATACAGCTTTAACGCTGCCCATAGATAAGTACATTTGACAGACAATATATGTTACATATACTGCATATATAGTATTTTATACAGTATATACTGTACAGTATATTGTTTGTTCATTTTCAGCTCTAGATTGCGCTTAAACTTTTCAGCAAGTAAAATTTACTGTTATGCTGTGAATAGCCAGGGTTGTTAACAGACCTGATTAGCGAAAGGTCACTTTACACACAGAACTGAATGAGTCAAAGGAGAGCACAGCCACCTCATATTGTAATTATGCTTTTAGACTGGATTCACACTATAGCTTTTTTCTTTGTTGTAGCAAGCTTTATTAACTCATTTTAACACGTGTTTTACAGATTTTGTTTTGCATTTTGTTGCATCTTTAAAAGTCAATAGTGTAGATTCTTCCAGTCGTTAGATGAGGATCTAAGTGAGGGAACAGGGCACTGTGAGATCTGTTAATGTCCATGCTTTGATACACCAAAGTCCAAATTAACCATTTGACTCTTCTTGTCTATTCTTACACATCGAGATCTGGCAGGCAACTGCAAGATCATTGACTTTAATGATTAAAATAGCAACACCTGCGTATGTTTCAATTTTCTCATAACGGAATTTGTGTTGATAGGATTTGATATTTCTTTTGAAACGTTAGACACCAGCTGTCCCTGTAAATAGCGATACAAATTCTCTGTAACCTTTTACATGAAATTATGCTGCTTACAAAGACTCAAACGTCTCCTGATTCTCAGGTACACTGCGCGTCCAGAATAAATTAATTCCCAGAAGTGAGGGGGCTGACAATAAACAGCTTTGTCTTTGATGCCGGGAATTCTAACTAAAATATCTAGTACAACGTAAACTACTCATTTTATAGTAATAAATAAAATACTGGCAGTTTTGTTGGAACACGTCGTGCTCCAATTACAGATATAATGCTTTTCACAGGTTTATAAAAACATAACATTAACACCTACGAATATATTAATAATAAAATTATGTAAAATGTACCGCTTCATTTACATGTGGGGGCATATATTTTATTGGTCCTAACAAATCCAGGTAAATTTAGCATTCGCCAATAACTGTGCTGTCTAGGAGTGTTTAACCCTCCAAAGTTGAGCAAATTTTACATTTGAAAGTAAAGTAGCAGTGAATGTGTGTCATTAAAAGACCACAAATATATATTTTTTACAAAAAAACAAACAAGAAAAGCAACATGTTCCTCCCTTTCTCCCCATGAGGAATGCAGGCTTGTATCCCCACTGCAGTGGAGAGTGGTACTGGTGCACATACCCTTGAGCATTTAGCCTGGGTTCACACTGATGCGATCCGGCATTTGCAGTGTTTTCTGTGCAAATTCCGCACCGCATCAGAATTGCACCCTGTTCATGCGAACCTCTGCGGGTGTGTATGTTAAGTTAACAACACCCCGAAATTGGACCGCAAAACGCAGTGCGACATGCAGAATGGGATTGCATAGGTGTGAATACCCATGCGATCCGATTCTAGTGTGTACCCAAGAAATGGCTCCAATTGCACCGCACACAAATCGCATGTGATTTGCACAGGAATGCGGTGCGGTTCCTGTGTGAATCACATGCGATATACCGCACCGCATATATGTGAACCCGGGCTTAGGAGTGTCTTAAAGTGATTGTAATGGCTTTATTTTTTTCCTAAAATAAAAAAGCATGTTATACGTATCTGTTTTGTGCAAGAATATTGCACAGAGCGGCCCCGATCCTCCTCTTCTGAGGTCCCCCACTGTTGCTCTTCACTTCTTTGAGTGCCCCCTCAGCAAGAAGTGCGCTTAGGGAGCATTCGGGCAGGCATGCTCCTGAGCCAGACTGTGTGCATCCATAGACATTTACAGCACGGCTTGGCCCTGCCCTCTGCTCCCTTGACTGACAGCAGCAGGAGACGATAGCTCCCGCTGTTCTCAGAACTTCCAGTGAATTGTGAAGAGAGGAGAAAAGCTGCAGTAGATAGGAATAGCACTGGATCGAGAATGGAATCAGGTGAGTGTTTAAGGGGGGCTGTGGGGAGCTGAATGTTTTTTTCACCTTAATGCAGAAGATACATTAAGGTGAAAAAAACTTTTGACGTTAGAACCACTTTAAGAGGTCTGCCACAAAAAAGGGGTATTCCTTTTAAAACACTGGCATCTGATGCTAATGTTCATTGAGCTCTTCAGCTTCCTTGGAAAGGGGGTATAATGATGTATTTACACAATTCTTTATATAAAGTGTTAAACCACATATGTTGCTAGTGCTGGAGGAGCACAGGGAGTCCTTGAATGACTATCCCCCAAGGTCTACAAGTATTTAGGAATGCTGAAGCCAAAATTAAAAAATAATTTAAAGAGGATTTTTGCTCACCATCTCCCCCCCCTCCCCTTTTATCAGATAGTCTGTTGCTTAAATTTCTGATACTCAGCCTCTCAGAGGATCCAACGTTGTCTTGCTGGGATCATCTGGTTCTCTGCAACCTCTTGGTCCCATACCGCCATATTGATGCGCGCCTCCTGATGATACGCCACTAGGCCCTCCCCCTTTATGAATGAAGCGCTTTGCCTCCTGGAATATGTGACATGCAATAGGGGACAGGGCCTCCCTTTTTTTTTTAAAAAAAGGTAACCAAAAAACCCCCAAAAACACAGCCCTTGTCTGATAGTGGAGTGGAGGAGGGGTGGATAGGACAGAAGTTCTTCAGGATGGTGAAGATCCGCTTTAATGTGCAATGTGACGATCGCGGCGTCAGACCCCAGCCGTTCTCACCAAACTCGTGACCGAAGGACTAGCCAATCTAAAACTGCACTGTCACATGCATAACAATGCCACCTGCACCCTGCACAAAGATTTTCCAGCTAATGGACTACCATGGATGTACCGGCAGCCTGAGAGCGATTGTTACTGGGTCAGGTTAATTACGCAATTAACCCTTCACACTGCCACCACCTCCTTTTTGTACAGAGAAAGAAGAAACTCGGCAATAGTAGCAATAACACTATGATGTTTGAATAATCGTCGGTATACCACTGTCACCGCAGGCAGAGATATACCGAAGTTTAAAACACACACAGTAGCGCTCTTTAGAGGCAGGAATTCGTAGTTTGCATTAAAGGCTTTAGAAACAGTTCAATACTTTCAGAAAGTAAGGTTTATTACTAAAAGGTCAAAAGGGTGCAATAAAAATATTTACAGAAAAAGATGTAGCCAATATATATATATAAATATACAGAGAA